CTCAATAACCTAAACTCAACAACAAAATAGCGAGAGCATATAATATTGCAGTCAATGAAGCAAAAACCAGTACACTTTCTGTCCAGTTCAAATAATCAACAAAACATATACAATTCAGCATATCCTACATCAATTACTATTGTAGTAAATGAACCTTAACCATATACAATTCATGTGCAGTAATTCATTGAACAAAAAACTGAATTTTTTTAAAAAAAGATAAAACCAGTAGCATATATTAATTTCATGCTGGTAGTGGTGCCCCTTTGCAAGTCCTACTATTGTGTCCTCGTGCACCACATTTCTTGCATGTCATTATCAGCCCTGCTCTTTTTCTTAGATCTGATGTGGCTGTAGCTGACTGACTCTGACTTGAAGAAGTCTTTCTAGACCTCTTTGACTAACTTGATGCCACTTCATTTGGCTCTTTCCTTCTATTTTTTTAGCCTCCCAGCTCTTTTTGTGTACACTGGTGGATCGAGAAGATTGAGACCTGGGTTAGGCCATGAGTCTGGGCCTGGATGGGGGAGATGGATGGAGTATAAGTCATGAGTTATGTCTCCTTCTTGTAGATGCCATCTACATACTCCATTAAATTAAGGCCCCTCGATGCAACCGAGGCAATGACATGGCAACAAGGAATTCCTGACAATCGCCAAGCACGACATGTGCATGTTCCTGACCTTAGGTCCATAGCATTTAGTGCGATGCCTGCGTTGTGTCAAACTTGAAACCTTTCATTTCCTGCATATTTAGCCCACTCCACCCTTCCAAGTCCACTGTTCTTGTCTACAATTTTCAGAATTCTAGGGCCTATTGATGCTATCCAACGATCAGAGGACTCTCTACTGGCAACAATCATCTTCATCAAATAAATTCGAATCTCCTCTAGCATTGTCAAAATGGGCTTTTCTCTTGCGCTGACAATTGTACTATTAAATGATTCGCATAAGTTGTTTAGAAGCATGTCACATTTGTTTCCTTCTCTGAAATGTGATTTACTTCAACAATCCTCTTCATCAAATACATACGAATCTCCTCTAGCATTGTCAGAATGGGCTTCTCTCTAGCGCTGACAATTGTACTATTAAATGATTCGCATAAGTTGTTTAGAAGCATGTCACATTTGTTTCCTTCTCTGAAATGTGATTTACTCCAATGAGATGCTAGTTTTGATTCAAGCCATTCGTATGTAGCCTGGTCCAAGTCCAACATTCGTTGTATGTGTTGAAGCCACTGTATACACTTGTCGCTCTGGCTGCATCCCACAAACAATTCTTGAAAGAAAATCCCTTGTGTGAAGCACTGAAATTGTTGTATAAATGTCTAACACATGTTCTGTGCTCCGCATTCTCAAACAAGGTATCAATTGCATTAACTAACCCCTTTTGTTTATCAAAAATAAATATCCATTGCTTACTGACGTACATGTGCAAATCATCCTTCAATAAACCATCCCTTTTCGCCCTCTCCAAGAATGTACTAACTGACATTTTTGGTTCAGACCTCCAATCAGATAAATACCTATTGGCCAGATAGGTAGAGCTCACTCTGAAGTCCCTATACACCATCGGGCATGTTTGCTCTTCGACTAAAGTTTTAATCACGAAGCTTGTCTTCTTATGCTCCTTCATAGCATATAACAACCATGGGCAATCCCCCTTACATATGGCTTTCAGTTTGATGGCGTCATCCTTCTTGTATTTGATCTCTCAGTTTCTCTGAACCGAATGTTCAGTGATTGCAGCCTTCAAGATGGACTTGGACTCAAATACCAAGCCTGCATAGCATAACAAATTATTAGGACCTTCAGATCAATAAAAGTGAGAATAAGTAGTAAAGAAAACCTTCAACTAACATGTTCTAAACACTGGATCCTCCGTATCTGCACTAACGTTGAGAGCATCACTAAAATCCGCGCTTCTACCTTCATCCTCCTCACTCTGAATGTTTTTTAAATCATTGGAGTCTCCATAGTCGGTATCAAAATCCCTAACCTATTGTGCATCAGCTGTACCAAATCCGAAATCAAAATTAACTCGTTGACTTCCTGGTTCACCAGTAGTTGCATGCTTATGCTCCATCTTGTAATCAGATTCCACCAACCCTTCAACTTCCTCTCCCCCACTTTGTTCTTCAGTGACATCTTCAATCACAACTTCATCCACATTTGCACCTTCGCCATGATGGTATTCTAAGTTTTCCTTGTACCGTGACCACAAATTTTCAGCATTCTCCTCGAAAAATTTGTCTGTCCAAGTAACTTCATCATCCGCTCCTTGGTTCTCTTCGAAAATTTGTACATAAAAATCTTCAAATGTTTGGTTGTCATCAACTTCATGCACAATGCATACGATTGCCTTGGGGCTACGCCATATATTTGTAACAAGCTATGACCCTCCATGTCCTTAAGCATGCACAAAATATCCCCTTCGCTCGCCAATCTCGTCAATCCCTTTCCTAAACTCATCCTTTGCTTCTTATAATAGAACTCCAACACCATGTCATTGCCAACCACACGTAAGAATTTCATCAAATTCTCTTTCGTACACCATGCAGCTTGGAAATAATCAATGAAAAACACAAACCCCCCTTCATACACCAAATTGTTTGGCTTAGCATAAAAAATTCTGCCATGATGAACTTCAACAGTGAAGTATGGAGAATTATCACATGCATGCAAACGGTAGGAAATTCAAAAACAAAAATCCAGAAAAAAAAATTGAATCAGCATAAAAAATTGAACATTTTTCAGAAACAATCGAAAACCCCCAATTTCACACACAACTCATAAACTTAATCAGTATAAAAAATTGGGTTAACATCATTTTTTTGGTTAAATGCACGTAGAAATTTGGTAGATTGAAGAACATATCGTAAATGGGTGGATCATCTCCGAGGTCCCTCAAAATCGGACCAAGCATGCTAAATGCAAGATTTCTGCTTCGAGTATATACTTGCATAACGGTGATAAACCACTAGAAAACTAAATGAAAACATTCAATCAAGCCAAAAATCGAAAGATTTTTCAGAAATCGTAAAAACCCAATTCCGGATTTTTCTTACCGTCGCACGCGTCACTATGGGCTTCAACAAATCGTGGACGGTGAACGACGAGGCGGTGAACGGAATATGAAGAGACGGGTTAGCACGTGAGATGGAGAAACCAAGTTCGTCTCCCTTCCAAGCACTTGGATTTTGCGTTATGAAGCCTTTAGTCGTGAAGTGCTGTGAAGTTATGGTGGTTGGACGGTTTTACCCTTACTTGTGGAAAATAAAAATCCATTTTTTTATTTAACGGTTTGAGGACGGAAGGACGTTTTGCGCAAGAAAAGGTAAAGTTAGGAACTTTCTACGCCAAGAAATCAAAGGTAGGGACGTTTTCCACAATAATCACCAAAGGTAGGGACATTTTGCACCAATTACCCTTTTTTGAAAAACAAACAATCATTTATCTTCCTCCCCCAAAAATCTTACAAATCTTAAAATAGAAGTAGAATCTGGGACCTCCATGGTGTAATTATCCAGAATAGATGAAGAAATTCGTCATAATTTTTCAAGTGATTTCTTTAAAATAATTTTTTTTTCAGAATAATTGTTTCTTTCTTGTCCACAGTTTGTCAAAAGCCATTGATCATAATTTATACATGGTTTTACATCTATTGGTGAAACACATAATTAAACAATCATTTGTAAATACTTTCTCCAATAATAGGTATCAATCACAATATTTTTCGATCTTTTTGTGTGAAAATTGTGACTGTGATCTAATAGGTTGTGTGATTACGACCTATTGATTGTGTGATAGTGATTCTCAACCACAAAACTGTGACAATCTATACTTTCAAATATGTATGTACAATTTAAGAATGTGACCTAAGATGTGTTTTTTGAAAAATTGTCATTTCATGTAAAGATTGTCATTGTGGTTTTGACTTAAAATATTTATAATACGTAATGTGCTATGATATATTATATTGTTTGATTGTGACTTATAAAATTGTGTGTCTATGACAATCATTCATAAGCCCCAGTTTGATGGTCATTATTGTGGAAAAATAATGTTTCGAAAAAAGTGTAGTTAAAAAGTGGAGAAAATTTTTGGATTTACATGTAAAATATTTTATTGTGTGATGTGTGCTTAAAAATGAATATAAGAAATAAATTATTTTGATTTAAAGAGAGTCGAACAGAAAATATTAATACTATTTTGCAATTTTTGTCTTTTTGAATGTGACATAACACGTCTCTTCTTAATCATCGACATCTACAATTAAGAAGATCAATAAGAAAATTCAAGAATTCTAATATTAGGTCTTAAATAACTTCAATTGGAAAGTATTAAGAATAGGAAATTAGAAATGATGGGCAAGATCTCACTTGGGTCCTGGGGGAGAGGAGCTTGCAAACCACTCCAATAGAATCCCCCATAATTCCTTTTTAACTCACTCGACCGACAGAAAATCAAATCTAAACATTACACCATTCGGCGCCTTTATATTCAATTATTCATCATAGATTGACCAAATTTGAGATGATTTCACGTACATTTATTGATTAAATCCAGTGATCTTAACGCTTTTCAGGTCCCCTCTCTTTCTCTCTGTACACGCGCACAGACGGACACCAAAATATGTATACGTATAAATACATGTTGGTGTATGTAATGTTGGTGTATGTATATACGTCACTGATTTTTCGTACAAGTAGCAGATCCGGTGATTCACGATGCCGAATCTTATTTTTTTTAATTCATGCCTTTTCTAATGGTATTGTGTGTTGAGAAATTTTGTTAATTTGTCTGAACTGTTACTCATTTGTGCAGCTGAGCTGGATTTACGTTTAATTGAAGTATATTATTGAAATGAGGTAAGTTAAATACTCGTGTTCAATATTAAACAATTAATGAATAGTTTTGGTGGATAAATTACATTAATGGAAAATTTGTATGTAATAAATAGATATTGAGATATTGGATCGGACAGAAAGGGTTTGTGAAGATGAGTGAGGGCCAGCGATTTCAGCTGGGAACCATTGGTGCATTGGGTCTATCTGTGGTTTCGTCAGTGTCCATTGTCATTTGCAACAAGGCGCTCATAACCACTCTTGGCTTCACTTTTGGTGAGATTATGGATTTTATTCGTATGCTTGTTAATGATGATGTTGTTGTATTTGTGATTTATTTCTTCTCGCCTGCCTTTTTGTCTTGTTATTAATGAATTTGGTTTTGAATTTGCATATCTTATTAGGAGTTCTTCTACTTGAAATATGTGGCAAAAACACAACAAATTGAACTCAATGGATTTTAGGATTCGCTATTCTGACTGGAGATATGAGGTCAACTTACAATTGTAAAACCTATTAGAAAGGAATTTAAGAGATCATGTTTGGTATGTTAACAGCTCGACAAACTTGTTCAATGCCTGGTCCAGATTGTCACTATTTCGTGTTCTATATTTTCTTTCTGGTTAATTTAGATGATAACTTGTGTGAATTCCAAAAAAGCGGTATATTGTTGAATTGGGTGCTCTGGAGTGAATGTGAAGAAATGGTGAATTAATAGCTTCCTTTTGTGAAGGAAGAAGCGTGAAGAACATCAAGTTGCTTTGTCTAAATGGTGTCGTGCAGAATTCTCATTTAATGCTTGTGCAAAATATGGAATTCAATAAAAGCTGAGCTTCTAGCTTATTTGTCATTTAGGGAAATAGGTTGGCAGCTTTCTGCTGTTGTGAAGCAAGATTGATTTCCTTTATTTTGTGCTTTAGTTTACTGGCAAAAGAAAAATCCTATTTTTCAGGCTTGATGCTTTTGTAAAATTAGTTAAAAGGAACTCTGCACTCTGTTGTATGTAACAAACAGCGGTTAGAGAATGGCCAAATGGGCCGTTTTTGCCTCTTATAAATTCGTGCATGTTTTCTGAACTGTGCTTGATTTATAAGGCTTCGTGAGTTAATGGATGATCCTTTTTCTCTAATTTGGTAATGTGTTACTTTATTTTTTTACTTCCTTAATGTAGGATCCTAATACTAGCTCTGTTGAAGGGTTACAAAATGGTTTAAATAAAACTCAAATTGTGCAACTCTATTCATAAGCATCATGTAACTGTTCATATTCTGGTTTTCGTTCTTATATTCTTTAGTAAACAAGGCTGCACATAAAAGAAAAAGTGGGCAATCTCTGGGGCCTATAACATCTCAATATGGCAAAACAGCCTTCCAGGAAGTGCCAACTTTTTTGGTCGTACTTTCATTATGTACTTACCTTTTTTAAGCTTTTATGCTTATATCCATGTGTTTTGTTAAACTATGCAGAACTCTTCTGACTTGTAAAACTGGTTTTTTAATGGCGACAAAAAACTTTGGTCATGATTTTCTGCAATCCACGTGTTTTCCTATTAAGTTAGATAGGCATTCTAGATAGAAATTGCATCCTTTAATAAGCACCACATTCTAAGAAAATGCAAATGGAATGTAATACAATGTTCCCCATACTTTTGGATGGAACGAGATGATGTTAAGACATTCATTGATTTTCCCATTGCAAATTTTTTTGTTCAATATTCCGAAAATTGTAAGATGTGGGAAATCATTATAACTTCAACTGTGTCAATTTTTTCTTTTTTTGGGTGATCTATAAAACCGTTATGATTTCGTTGAATTTTCTTATTCTTGAACTTGTTAACTTTTGATCCTCCATCTGTTGTACTTTTTCCAGCTACAACATTGACAAGCTGGCATCTTCTGGTCACATTTTGTTCACTTCATGTTGCAAGATGGATGAAATTGTTCGAGCACAAGCCATTCGATCCAAGAGCTGTCATGGGATTTGGAATCCTGAATGGGACATCTATTGGACTTCTAAATCTAAGCCTGGGTTTCAATTCTGTTGGTTTTTATCAGGTTTGTTTTTCCCACTCGGTTTGAAATTATGTTTTCCATCCATTAAGGTTTGAAATGTTTTTTCTCATTTGAATGATGATTCCAAGGTTTTCTTTATAACAAAAAATCACCTAAGAAGTTCAACTATCAGTCGTGTAGTTGTAAATGGGGCAGTTATGAAATCAAATTCCTCTCTCTTGCATCCAAGCCCTAAGGCGCTTAAAATCTGCCAGGAGTATCAATTAAGATTCGTTGTCCGAGTTCAGTGATGCTCTTTTTTGGAGGATCGTATAGTCATCTTAGACTATGCCAATCCACTCTAGGGATTGGAGAAAGGATATAATGCAGGTATGAGACCTACGTAGAGAGTTAGAGAGTTAAAGTGACTTAGAGTCAACCTCAGTAGATCCTTATTTCCTAAATAATTCCCTGATATCAAAGCTGATTGCAAGAATGTGCCTTGATATCATTGAGTCTATTTAGTTGTCATTTTTCTAGTAAGTAGTTTATTAATTCCCAGGATGATCTCCATTAGATCAGATATTGGACGTTGACCTGTCTTTTGGTTGATAAGGTTCTTCTCTGACAATTATCTCAGATTAAGTTCATGTCAGAAAACATCTACTTCATTTTCTGTTATTTCGTCTGAGTTGCTGTTCCTAAATAGTTATATCTTCTGGTTCTTGCATTATAGATGACAAAGCTGGCCATTATCCCCTGCACGGTTCTTTTAGAGACTCTTTTCTTCAGGAAAATATTCAGGTTAGATCTTTGCACAAATTTTATCTTGGTTTGTGTTTTACCCATTTGAAAAGAGAAGTGTGTATACAAGGGTAGTGTGCCCTCACCTTTGAGCCAATGTTCTCTGTTGTTCGTCTAATTATTTTTCTTGCTGAGGTATATTAGTTCTTTTGCAGTATATGAGATTCTGTTTGTTATAAGAAAAAAATAAATAAAAACATACTGAAATGCAAATAGAATTATAACATGTTTGGTCATTAATGAAAATGTGCTAATAAATTTCTAGTTTCAGCATAATATAAAATAATGTTTTAAGTCAAACTTTCCAATAAAGTTTGCTGTTTGTTCAAATATTTCTAAGATTGTGCTTGTTTGTCAAACCTTAGGTGTTGTAGGGAATTTCTTTTCTAACTGAGGTTCATGCAAGTCATATATAGGCTGGAAGGCCTACTTTAGCATTTGCAACTATTTTGGATACCAGTTGTTTTACTTTTAGTTGAACCTGTGTTCCCATTCCGCCTGGAAACTACTGAAGGAGATGACACTTGGACCTCTCGACGGTTTTTTCTTGAAATTTTACCTTTTTATTATGTTGGGGGAAAGTTAGCTCTCTCGTGGAGGATAAAAAGGATAAACTGCTAATGCCTGGTGAATAATAGACTTCCTATTCTACTTACTTGAGTAACTTTATTTTTTCTTGATCATTGACATCATATTTCAACTAATTTTCAATTAACCTCGAGATCTAATTCTCGTAAACGTTCTTGTTTGGTTTATACATTTAAAGAAAAAATAAATAAATCATTGTATTCAGTAGAATGTGCTCCTAGTGAGCCTCTACTGGTAGGTGCATAGCAAGCCGCTCTGCTTTTTAACATTTTGACTTTTACTTTGATCTAAGGAGAAATAATCACTGTTCAGCGTTCACTCTCTAATAGTTTTCTTGTTACCAATGAACATGACTGAAGAGGATCAAATTGGATCTAAAATATAAAATAAACCTTGGACTGCTGGGTTAAATTCCTGCATGCAAGTTTTGGAAGGTCAACTGTCCGTGTTTTGATCTTAAATCCAAGTCCAACAATGTTTCTTTCATTTTCGTTCTTATGCTGTATGCAACACCTTCTTTGTCAACTTTTTATTATGTCATCTTGAGTTATTTGGTGTGTACAGGATTCTCTTTTCGTACATATTCCAGAATCCAAATCTATTTTTGTACATACTTTTGTTTCAAACTTTCACTGCTAATACTTTCTTGACCACCATTTGCAGTAGGAATGTTCAGCTCTCTCTCACTGTTCTTCTTGTGGGTGTTGGAATTGCAACAGTGACTGATCTGCAGCTAAATTTGCTGGGTTCCACCTTGTCTCTGCTTGCAGTTCTTACAACTTGTGTTGCACAAATTGTATCCTCATCTGTTCTCTGCAATAAAATATTCCCCCCAAATCCTGAAAAAGAAAAACAAGGATGCTTATTTTAAGAGAATTTACAATACTAAAATTGACGTCCAAAGAGAACTATTCATTCATTTCGCTATTTGAGCAGTTATATTACTGAAATTTCAGTGGTCTCTTAGATTTGGCCCATCAAAGATTTGGGATCTTAACTGAATACACTCAGATGACAAATACCATTCAGAAAAAGTTCAAGGTTTCTTCAACGCAACTCCTGTATCAATCTTGTCCATATCAGGCAATCATTCTATTTGTAACTGGACCATTTCTGGATGGACTTTTGACGAATCAGAATGTGTTTGCTTTCAATTATACCCCTCAAGTGCTGGTGAAGCTCGATATCCTAATCCTTGCAGCTGTTATATACTGCACAATGCAATAACTCTGTTGGTTTTTTTTTTTAATTACAGGCATTTATTGTCTTTTCCTGCCTAATATCAGTTTCCGTGAACTTCAGTACCTTCCTGGTAATTGGGAAGACATCACCGGTCACTTATCAAGTCCTAGGACATCTGAAAACGTGCCTTGTTTTGGCCTTCGGCTACATTCTTCTACATGACCCCTTTAGCTGGCGAAACCTTTTAGGGATCTTGGTTGCTATAGTTGGGATGGTACTTTATTCTTATTATTGCATAGTTGAGAGCCAGCAAAAGGCCGCTGCTGAAGCAGCAGCACAATTGTCTCAGGTACTTGCAGAACTCCTCTCTAATATTATTCATCCTTAGTCCTTACTATCTCATACCATTGCTTCGTTTCCGTTATATTTATAAAATGGAAAATTTGTTGCATGGGTCCTCACTTGTTCCAGTAACAAGTTGGTCCCCAACCTTTAATTATAGTCGCACAATGAGTCCCCCAACGACAAAAAGCATCCAAATCTTTGTTAGATCATCACATGACTCTCCTGAAAACATGTATGACTTCTAGTTCCTGGGAACTAGCCCAAGTTGGGAAGTAAAATCTAGGTTCTAAAGCTGAATGTACGAGGGTCATATGACCATTTAATGAAGACTTGGACAGGAATTCTGCAAATATAATGGAACGTTGGAGACCAACTTGTTACTTGGGCAATAGGTCGGAAGCTATAGTGCAATTTTCATTTGAAAACTGACATGCTGATTTTTTTCATCCGTTTTTGTGTTTGAAGGCCAAGGAAAGTGAATCCGATCCTCTAATTAATATTGAAAATGAAGGAGGTATTTTAACTGAAGGTGCTCCAAGAGGCCCTGGATGGATTTCGGACAAGGACCTACAAGCATAAAATTTCCTCGGTATGAATTCATTCACACGGTTCAAAATATATGGACCAAACTTTTCAGCGATGAAGATTTCGCTGCACGGGTTTCTATACTTTTGCTGATCAAGAGTTTATGCATTTGAAAGATTAAACTTTTATTTGTTAGTACTAGATCTTAGAAAGTATTGATGTAGCAGTTTTGTATAAACTAGGATTGCCAATAGAATTGATAATTTCATGCATATTGATTTTGTCTTGGATAAATTTTCCCTTGTGAAACAATGAAGAAATTGCAGCATCGAGTATGAAATCGAAATTATGTTAATTACTTCCACTTGGCTATTGGTTTCATTGATAGCCATACCAAAGAATAGGGCTGGCTCGGAGCAGCCTGGACCGTTTAGAGAGGCAGTACACGGGTGCTGCTCCGGCCTGGGCTGACCGTGCCAGGCAACTCTCTCTGAGCATTGAGTAGCAGGTTGATATTACAATATATTAGTCCTTCGTACGAGTGTCCAAATATTTGCATGATGGGAATGATAAATAATTGTGAAAATTGAATTCTGAGATTTTATCTTGAATTGAACAAATTCGAATTGAACTTCAATCTATTGAGCAGATGTTTGTCATAGTTCAATAGCCAGGACGATAGTTAATTTCTTTGAGATTGTCATTGTGCCAGATTCTTCATGACCTGACGCTATACATGTCCAGCACTACCTATTTTGCGCGATTTAACAATGCATTTTTTTCATATTGAACTTCAAAAAAAAAAAATGTATTCATGCTTCACAGCAAAAAAAATATAGGTAGGAGGGGGCCAAGAAACTGCAGCCCGCTAAACCGATCCGACCCGACTTGTATTGGGTCGGGTTGGTTTTAAAATTATTTCGGTTGGGTTGGGTGGTGAAGGAATTTTAAAATTCTTATGGGTCGAGTCGGGTCGGTTCGCTTCCAATCCTTTCAAACCGACCAACCCTATTTCCTATTTTCTTGGAAGCGGCGCGACCATTCTTCTTCTCGCCCAAATCTGACCTCCAATTGGTAAGTTCTCTCGCTCTCTCTGGTAGTAATCGGAGCCCAAGCCATAGCAGAAGCAGGAGTCCTTATCTTGTAGATTACTCGAGGGATTCTGGTAAAGATGGGTCTCCTAGCCGTGAGTTCTATTGGGAAAATGCTAGGTTAAAGGAAACATAAATCCAAAGAGAAATATGAATCCGTTAAGAATCTGGTTAGTTTTGTTTTTGCTCGTTTCTCTATTTGAGATTTTTAAACCAAGATTCTGTTTTGTAATTGAAAAAAGCAGGAATCTTGGGAATTCCTTGATTCTTTCTTCGTGGGGTTTGAAGGAATTCTTATACTCGGTTAAGTAATAATGGTGGAGTGATGGGCACCAAAAGTGGTTTATTTAGCGATGAAGGGGAAACATGGACGAAATTGTGGGAACATATTTCAGTATGTTTCTACAAGATTCACCATCATTATTCTCTACATATTGGGTCAAGGAAAAACAACAGATCTACCAAAGAGAAATACTGTTGATGGGAGAAAGATATGGGAAAAAAACCGACCCAACCTGAGTCGGGTCGGATCGGTTTAGGGTAGGAGCCGGGTCGGGTTTGTGAAAGAGCCCAAAATCGGCGTATACGGGTCGGTCGGTTTTGGCCCAAAATCGATCCGACCCGACCCATTGCCCACCCCTAATACATATAGGCAGTTTGAGCAACAATGGAAACTCGAAAGCGATAGCTGATCATCAAACGATAGTTAGACTGGTTGTGAATCTACTAGCATCAACGATGTAAGAATCGGGTTAATTTCACAACAAATATTTATGGGATCAATTTCAAAATTAAAAAATATTTCAAAAATCAGTTGTGACTTCAAATTTGTTATTTTTTGTTATAGTGTAATTTTTCACGTGTATGTAATATTTTGTATCTTTTTATTTATTTATAAAGAAATCGTGCATTTAAGGTTTGTTTGACACAGATTTTCCTAAACCTCCCTGGTCACTATATCACAACGTCCCAATTGAAGTAACAACAACACAAGTTTCAATCTCTTTCGAATGTTTTAACATTTAATTTTATTAGATGTCTATCAGAAACAATAAAGTCCCTTGCGATCTCCGTATGCATCTTTCAGTCACTTCAAGAACCATTCCCATGATCTATTATTCTCGCTGCCAACAACACCGAATCCAAGGATGAATATGTTATTATTTGCATCATGTGTGCAGGCAGTGAAAAGTGTACATCTGTAACTGCCGTAGGTACCATCTAATACGATAAGTGGTCTAAAATGTCTCCACCCATCTATTGAACCCCTAATGCGACAAAATAATGTAGAAATCCAGAATATTCGTCAGTACAAAATACTTGTCTCTGTCCCTCGGTTCTTTACTTCCAGCACATGTAAATAAAGCCAGAAGTTCCAGTAAGACTGCTCACGGCCACCCTTTATCATCTTCAGTGCAAGTTTTGGGCTCTCCTAACTTTTGCACAACTTATTGCTACTCGATAATAGTTTAGCATGTCCTTCATAAAATCTCCAGATATGTATATAGTTCGTGAGCAAACAAACTTGTACTTGATGCTGATAAAATAAAATGACGTTGAAGACATTCACTGTTATAAAGTAAACACAGGAAGGGAAAATACTTTCTGCTTCAATTTATTCAATAAGCAATGACCTTCATAGAGGCATTACATCTACGAAATGACAGAAAAAAGATAGCAACGACTAACCCACCATCTTTAACGTGTACTGAAATAATAATCAGATTCCAAAAGACAAGGACAAATGAAACAAACTAAAAGACTCAACATAAAATAAATTAATAATATTGAAGACTTGGTCGAATGACCCATTGCACGAATATATGTTATCACCCTCCCTTAAATCGATATCTGCACCTGCAATGCCTTTCCTAAAGCAGCCTTAACTTCCTTTGAAGATCAAACTCCAAGCATACTTAGATGCTTCGTAAAAACAACCGACTCGAGTGGTTTAGTCAAGATATTTGCAATCTGTTCATCACTTTTGCAAAACACCAAATCAATAAGACCATCCTTGCATAAATCACAGAAAAAGTGATACCTCATATCAATGCGTTTGCTTCTACCATGTAAGACTGGGTTTTTTGAGAGCTTTATTGCAGTTGGACCTTGCTGCTGGTTGTGTAAAACTTCAAGTAACCTTAGCGGTGGCAAAAAAGCTAGGAGGCTCAGACAGCTCGGGCCGACCCGTGGCCCGGGCGAGCCACCTATTTAAAAAAAAAAAAAAAAAAAAAAAATTTGAAGGCAGCTAAGAAAAAATAAAAAATAATAATAAAAAAACCAAAAAATCCGAGTCGAGCCGAGCCGAGCCTCATATCTTTTGGTCGGGCTCAGCTCGGGCCAAAAAAAGTTCTGGCTAGGCTCGAGCTTTTTTTTCAGCTCGGGCTCGGCTCGTTGACATCACTAAGTAACCGCCTCAGCAAAATAGCTTGACATGAACTTGATGCTGCAGCAATGAGTTGCTTTCGTAGTTGACAAAGTCACTATCTATTACTTCTTAGATGACCATGTAATAGCCCCAGAATTCAACATAAACACTGCTCAAGAAGTGCTCTTTCTATCATCAAGATCTCTAGGATAATCACTATCTGAACCAATCAAACTTGACTTTTCACCCCTTTTGTATAGAATTCCAAAATCTGCAGTACCTTTCAAATAGCGAGAAATTCTCTTTGCAGCCAATAGATGAACTTCAGTTGGATTCTTCATGTATCTACTAATTAAATTAACTGTGTCCATGATGTATGGTCTTGTAGATGTCAGATACATAAGGTTCCAAATGATATGTTTGTACAGAGTTGTAACGCCCCAAACTTTATTGACTTAATTTTGAGGTGTTACCGATATCATTTCATAATCAAACTTGAAGCGAAAATATTTAATTGAACCCTCAATTTATTTGAACCTTCACATACTGAATTAAATAAACATAGAGTCACGAAAATTTAGAACATTTAACAGAAATAAAGAAAAACACAAAATATCTTAACAAAATTTATTGATTAATGCTTTCCTGAAATTTTACTTGGGCCACCCGCTCACCGCTCATCCACCATCCACGTTGACTAATTTAACCTGAAATGTTAAAATTTGAAGGAATGAGTAATTTAGGCCGTGTCTGCTGCGGCTTTTCTCTTCCATTTTTTGACAGTTACTTTTGGCTGACAGGTCCCATGTCACTCACAAGTGGTCAAAAAGGACGGCCACTTTTGATACCAAACGGGCAAAAAATCACTTTTTTTCCAAGTGTAATTCGCACCAGACATGTTCTTAAACTCAATAGGATACGTACGTCCAAAATAATATAATAAATTTTTAAACATAAATTTATGACATTCCATACCACCATTTTATCAAGAGCAGTCGGAGATCAATCAAATGCTCTAACACATTTCTGTGCAAATAATTGAAAAAATTCGAAGGAAATCTCACATGTCATTTCATTATGACCAGTAGATCAATTAGCATTTAATGAAATAAATTACGTAAAAAATTATAATATTGCAAGGACGGATCAACTTGCACATAATATTCTACCTTTAGTGGATCAAAGAATTTGTGTAAGATTAAAATACGGGTTGCACTCCTTTCACTCAAAATTCTAAATAAAACTTTGAATATGAATAATAGTGGTGTATGTTTTCTTTTGATTTAAAATAAATGTTAAAAAAAAAAAAAAGAATACCAAACTAGCTTATTATACAAGAGAATTTGTTTGGATTTAAATTTCAAATCCTCTTTATCTACGCACATACACATCACTTTGCCAAAAAAAAAAATCCACCATTTACGTACACATGCCAAAGAAAATTCCACCATTCACGTGCACATGCCAAAATGAGAGAACATAATTTGTTCGGATTTAAATTAGTAAAATCTTGACTTTCATTCTTAGATAAATACGGTAATTTGTAAATAAAAAACATCCTTGAGCTTGGTTCCATTAACTGAGATAATGCATTG